GAGGGAGAGAGGGAGAGAGGGAGAGAGGGAGAGAGGGAAAGAGAGGGAGAGAAGAGAGGGAGAGGGAGAGAGAGAGAGAGAGAGAGACAGGGAGAATATACTTTGAAGTCACTCTCCAAGTAACTTTTCCCTTCCTACCAGTCCCCACCAGCAAACATCAGGATTTGGGGGCAAATGTTAGATTTAAACCATAACATATCTTCCCTGAGTCCTAAAAGGCTCACGTGCATCTCTTTATTCAAAATGCAGTTAATCCACCTGTAAGAGTGGCCAATGTCTTAATAGTTCCATTATTGTAGAAAATTCCATGTCCAAAGTCTCTCCCCAAGACTCCAGGCAAACTCTTACCTATGATATCCTGTAAAAACCAAACAGTAGAATGCTTCCACTATGCAAGAGCACAGGGTAAACATTCCCATTCCAAAAGGGAGGAGTAGGTGGGTAGAATGGAATTGGACTAAAGCAAGACTGAATCTCAGCAGGGAAAACATTAAATCTCTTAGATCAGTGTCTAACAACCATGGTGGTGTGTGTTGAGATGTGAGCTGCAAAGTGCTTAGACAGCCCTGTCCCTATGGCCATTGGAGCTACAGCCCATATGGCCTTTCTCTTGGACTGGTTCCAGTCAGTGCTTGCAATTTCCTTCAAATGAAAATCCAAGTACTTGGCAACTCTGGTTTCCTGGGATCACCATGGCAACTTTTGTTTCACTCTCACAGATTCATACAGTGCTCTCTCATGAGGTCTTGCCAACAACTATGATTCAGTCATATCTTTTCCTGAAGTTTGAGTGGAAGCATCTGAGGCTCCCTATCTCTCACTTTCTGCATGCCTGAAATACCAGCACCATGTGAATGGCAAGAGTTTGTCATCATCTTGAGCAGAAGCCAGGCACCACATACAGCTATAGTGGCCTCTGGGGTCTGGATGGATGAACTCAGGGATATACTTTTCTAGGTGCCCTTGAATTAGCCCTTGAATGAGCAGGGGTCCCATCACTCTTTGCTCAAATGAAAGATTTACAGTTTTAAACCCTTGATCCTGTAATGGAGTCTTGCTGATTTCTGATATGCCCTCAAGGCATTTTTCTTCTTGGCCTTGTGCAAAGTACTTGGCTTCTTCATAATGCTAATCTTTCAGGAATGATTATCTCCTAGTCCCCAACTTTGCAGGTGCTTCTTTCTGGTGAACCAATAGTTTCCAAATCAATCAACTCAGCCATTCCCCCATGATAATCACTGCAGATTTGTTACTGATATTCAGCTATACATGTGACACAACCTGAACACTGGCTGGCCATGAAATTTGCACTGTGAAATTAATTAGTCTACCACTATTAGTCTCAGTCACCTACAACATTTTAGGACATGGACAAAAGGTAGAGAAATTTTCTGCCAAAGCATAACACATGGCATCTAGTCATCTAGCCAATATATCCCTTTGTTATAGTTTATATCTAGATGTCCTCCCAAAGCCTCATCCACTCATTAGTGGAGCTTTAGGGAGGTGACCGAATCATGGGGTATTGGGCATGCAATTAGTCCACTGATGAGTTTAGAGCTACATGTGAGGTGAAGCATGATGGGAGGAGGTGGGCCACTGGGAGCATGGCCTTGAGGGGTTTGTCTCCCTCCTTTTCCCTTGATCTCTATCTGCTTCCAGCCTGAAATGCCATGGACTGTTTCTCCTGTGTCATAGCCCTGTACCATGCCCCTCTGCCTTGGAGCAGCTGACTATGGACTGAAACCTCTACAAACTGTGGGCCAAAATAAATTTCTCCTCCTTTAACATGTAGCTGTTGGGTATTTTGTCCCAGCAATGAGAAAAGACCTTCTTCTGATCTCTGACCAGGTTTGCTCACCAAGCTCTGCTCACAGCATTCTAGGACTTCTCTAGCCTGCCTCTCCAACCTTGACAAACTCCCCTGAAAACCACTTGCAAAACTTTTGGACTACATATACAAGTTTAGTCATAGCAATGGCCTTACTCCTGATATCAATTTTCTACATTAGTCCCTTTCCTCTCAGTGGGACAATATACTAAACATGTGCTACTTAAAGGAAGAGCAGTGTGCTTTGGCTCACAAGCTCCATAGATTCAGGCTGTGGTTGGCCTGCTGAAAGGCAGAAATGGCATGGAATAATGGTATGGCAGAGGAAAGCTGGTCCTGTCATGGCCACCACAAAGCAAAGGGACACGGGAGTGCAGCAGAGACCTCAGGGCTACACCCCCAGTAGAGCTGGGGTGAGAATTCACGCTCCACATACACCCTAGTGACCTCCATCTTCTAAAGGTCCTTACCTCCAATTGGGAGACATTTGTGGGTCACCTTAGATCTAAACCATAAGTGTATTTCTCTCCAGAGAGAAACAAAAATTGTCAGACAGATATGTTATAGACTTAGATCATGTGATGGTGACATCTGACTCATGTGAAATCAATAGCACAGGCCAGCAGGTGGGAAAGTCACACTACATTTCTTTATTTTTCTTAAAGATTTTCTTTTGCGTTTTACTTAGCATGTGTAAATTATACACATTAGTGGAGTTCAGTGTGATATGTCACAGCATGGATACAGCACACAGCAATCAAATCCAGTCATGCTTGCACAAATGAGACAGCACATGTGTTATTTCACATTGCATGCCTGGCTTATTCCACTTGACACAATGGCCTCTAGTTCGAGTGACTAAAATTTACAAAAATATTTAAAGTTTAAGGTTTCAGATTAGAGGAGACAAATCCTAGAAATAGCTACAGCAACCCTACCAAAATTTCTAAACTTTTTGTAAACTATTAAATTTTACCTACATATTCACTTGTAGGCTACTATCTTCTGCATCTCAAATTTACACTGCAAAACAAAAGGAGAGAGAAACAGAGACAGAGACACAGAGACAGAGAGAGAGAGAGAGAAAGAGAGAGACAGAGACAGAAAATCCTAGCAAACACACAGGAGCAAGTAAGTTGAAGTATGAAAACATGAGGAAGTCCTGGGGAAGAGTAAAGACTGTTCACCTCCTACTGGTATTTGTTAGGGGGGGAAGTGGTTGGGGGCTGAGGCCTGCCTAAGTGACCCATGGCAACATGAGTTGGAGGAAAGTTTTAAAATTCCTGCATCTACAACACTGCACAGTCTGAGGCAGCATCTCATACCAGAGACATTGATAGCCCAGGCTAACTTTGGGAGAGCAGAATTATTATGAATTAAATGGAATTATTATGGCTGTAGAGACTATAGTTATAATCACCTGAAGCAGCCTGAGTGGGTGAGTACTGACTTTCAAAACAATTATTATGTTGACAAAGTATAAACAATGCACTACAAATGGAATAGTGAGTATAAGAGTAAATAACGTGGAGTAGCATTAGATATTCCATAATCAAAGAAGAGCCCCTCCCTTCAGCCTCACGGGACTCTGGTGTCAGCTCCTTGGTCTGGGGTGAACAGACTGAGGTTCTGAGCCAAGTGGTCCAGGATCCACCGGGAACCAGGGTGACGACCCCTAGGGAGGGAACCTAGGGAATCACTTTCTGCACCTGCTGACACGTTCCCAGATGTGATTTCTACTGAATGCGGAATAGTTCCTGGTTCAGGGGATGGGTGCAGAGAGGATCTAGGCACACTCAAGGTTCAAGGAGAGAAGTAACAAGGGACTGAGGAAGACCCGCCCCAGAGGGAGAGTCAGCTAACTACCCAGCTCTACCCCTCCTGTTAGCCCTGGACCACACAGGGTCTGATTTGTTACAATGAAGTTCAGGCTCCCTGAGCCCTGGGAGGTAGAGCCTTCCTGGGAGGGGAACAGAGAGAACCAAATCCATAGAGAAAGTAGTTCTGGCTCTGCCCAGAACCAAAAGGCTGAACTCCTAGGGAACACGGAATGGACCTGGAGAATTTTGTTCCGCTCCTGCTGTCAGCTGCGGGAGACCTCGGGAACGTTTCGGGACGTAACGTCATCCACTGACTGTAGCAGCGGCAGTGGCTTCAGGTCAGAGCTACTGAGGTGCTTTGTGGAGATACCTGCTTGAGGTGAGGGGAATTGTGTGGGTGGGCTCAGTTAGGGCTCGGTGATGGGTAATAGGGGGAATGAGGAAGCTCACTGCGCACAGAGGGTCCCCAAACAATCCAGATATGCCTCTGTAGTGAGCATTATATGGCGCGAATGCTCAGGTGGGGACCACTTGTGGCTCAGGCGACCCAGAGTGCAGAATTAGAGCCGAGTTCTGAGGTTCGCGCTTCAAGAGGTAGGATTGGACAGGACCTGGAGTGAGTTAGGTCAAAATGAAGGCTGAGGGAGGACTGACAAAGCCCTGCCTCAGGAGAAGGTCCCAGAACATTCTAGAATAGGCTCCATTTTCTGCCCGGTACCAAGCAATGCAGCAGTCTCAAAACAGCGCCACCTTTGGCCGTAATGGGAACTGCATGCAAAATCAGACCCTTGTCCTCTGATCCTAGCTTCAGGTGGGAGAACAGAGAATCGGATAAAGGTGTGTAACACTAGAGAAACTGCAGAAGGCACACTCCAGAGCAAGGGTCTCCCAACCATGTAGAAAAGCCTCTCTTTCCAGCCTTGTACCTCATAGGGCAGAATTCTCAGGAGAGCGCGTGGGTTTCCCTCTCTGGAACCTGAAAGGAGAGTCAGAGCCTAATTGTCTGGTCCATGCTTCAGGTGCGAGTAGCAGAGAGGGCCTGGGCTAAGTTAGGTCAAGATAAGGCCCAGAGGGCACAGTGAGGAAGCCCCAGGGCAGGGAGAGGGTCCCCAAAAAACCCAGAATTGCCTCTCTTACAGCTCCTCACGGGGGGGGGGGGTTCAGGTCTAGGGAGTAGAGACCCAGGCTTAGTTAGGTCACAGTGGGAGCCTGTGGACCACTGTTGAAGCCTGTCCCCTCGCAGAGTTTCCCCAGAAATCCAGAGCCACGTCTGCCATCAGCACTGCAGCACACGGAGAGGTGTGTTAGGACGAGCCCCTACTCAAGGGCACACAAAACCCTCTGGATTTGTCCACAAGGAGCAGTTGCCCCTGGGCAGCTGTGTATCCATGGGGATGGGAGTGCCTCGCACTGCCTTTTGTTCCCTCTCTGAGAGGTAAACACTTTTCCTGAGAGTTGGCCTCAGGCCAGCAGGGGTCCAGGCTCTGCTCAAGGACACTTGAGGGCCCTGGGTGAGCAGAGAGGGGACCACGCACCCAGAACAGTGGGGGCCTCACACAGTTACCTCTCGTTGGGCTCCACCTCTGGGGTGACGGAAGACAGACGGTGTCCTTGGATTGCGAGGCGCATGCGCAGGTCAGGAGCGGAGAAGTGCGGCTCCCCGGGCATGCGCCAGACAAAGGAGGGCTTCCAGAACCTCGTCCTTCTGTCCAAAGCCTGGGGAAAGCCCGGGCAGGAGTGTGCGGAAGTGCTGCATCTCATTTCTGTCTGCTTGAGCTCAGGGAGGCTACACCTTGGTGTGCAGTGTGTCACCAGGTCAGCGGAGGAGCCACGGCTGGTCAGCAGAGGCCAGGACCTGCCAGCAATCAAGGTGAGCACCTTGGGTGAGCACTGAAAGGGTTTTTGTTGTGCTACATAATGATTACATTCATTGGGGAGAGTTGGTACATGTATGTGACATAGCTTAATTCTTTTTTTTTCCTTCCCCTCTTTTCAATCCTACTCCAAGCATCTCTTGGATCCATTTTCTTACATATGTATACTATATGTGTGTGTATATATATATTGTTTGTTCGTTTTCCATATGTAATGATCACAATCCTCATTATGTATATGTATATTTGTGCACGCTTGTACACAATGAACACATTCCTCACAGGGACTTTGTGCATGTGCAAACTTCACAATTCCCCCCTTTTTATGGGATTTCCCTCCCCTCCATTCTCCCACCTTCCACATCTTGCTTCCCTTCTCATATACTAAAAAATCTACCTATTTGCTATTATCTGTCTTTTATTTTCATCTTTATTTACTTTTCAGATTCCTCATATAAAGAAACCATGTGGTATTTAAGCTAATGTGTCTGATTTATTTCACTTAACATTATGGTCTCAAGGTGCACTCATTTTCCTACATATGACTCAAGATTTTTTTTTAAGGCACAGTAGTAACTGATTTTATGTAAACATCTCATTTCCCATATCTCTTCACCTATTGATGGAAATATAAGCCACTTCCAAGATTTAGTTATTGTGAATTTTGCTGTTGTAAACATGGATATGTATGCATCAGTATAATGTGATGTCTTTAATTCTTTCGGGAAGATAACTAGAGGGGGAATATCTTGGTTGAATGTAAATTCTAGTGTTGTTTTCTAAAGGGTCCCCTGACTGATTTTCATAGTGGTTGTACCAGTTTACACTCCCACCAGCAATGACGATGGGTTCCTTTTTCCTCACAGGCTTGCCAGCATTTGCTATTATTTGATTTTTTGAAGATAGCCATTCTTTCTGGCGTGAGATATAATCTCATTGTTGTTTTAATTTGCATTTCATGAGTGGCCAGCAGTGCTGAACTTTTTTCATGTATTTTTGGGCCATTAATACTTCTTCATCTGAGAAGTATCTTTTCACTTAGATGATCATTTCTTGATTAGGTGTTTTAATTTGGGAGGTCTTTTATTTCAGTTATTAATATAGTCTAGATATTAGGCTTTTATCAGAGGAGTAACTGGTAAAACGTTTTTCCAATTCTGCAGATTGTCTCTTCAGTCTGTTGGGTGTTTCCTTTGCTGTGCAGAGGCTTTCTAATTTGATATGATCCCATTTGGTGTTGCTTGGTAATATTTCTTGTGCAACTGGCATTCTATTCTGAAGTTACTGTTACACATAAGCCTTCCAGAGTATTGCCTGATTTGTCTTTCAGCAGATTGTTTTTCCTTTTAATATTTAGATATTTGATTCATTTTGATGTTATTTTAAATGATGAGAGATATGGGTCTATGTTTAACCTTCTGGATTTGTACAGCCAGTTTTCCCAACAGCATTTGTTAAAGAGGCTACTCTTGCTGCAGTGAAAGTATTTGGTCCTTTTGTTAAAGAAAAGAACAGTTGTGTTGCCTGGAGTGGTTTCTGTATCCTGCATTTATTCTGTTGATCCACAAGTCTGTTTTTGTTCTGTTTTTTGCCAATATCGTGCTGTTTTTATCTGAGTAGTTTTGTAGCATACTTCACTCAAAGTCTAGGATGGTGATGCCCCTACCTTGCTCTTGGTGCCAGGACTGCTTTGGTGTTCCAAATCTCTTCTGGTTCCATGTGAATTTTAGGATTGTTTTCCCTAGTTCTGTGAGGAATGCTATTGGTATTTTGATTGGGAATGCATTCAATCTGTATAACAGATTTGAAATTATGGCCATTTTGACTCAGCCATTGCATTGGCTCTGCCTATGCAGGAAAAGTGGATGTTCGTTTGTTTGGTTTTTTGACAATGAAAAGTTTAATATTTTACTAGAAAACTTTCAGACATCTTACAAATGCCCAGGAACTCTTTCAATGGATGTGCCCTGACACGGATGTAGAAGTGATTTTAGTGTACTCCTGAGCATCTTTCTGTTCCCTTCTAGACTTGGTCTGCTCAAAGTGTGGATTCCAAGCTTCTGTAAAAAATCAAAGCTTGCAATGAATACAAATGTAGATAGAATTAACAGTGAAATTGCAAAGCAGCTGACTTTTTATTAAGTTTCTAGGCATATAGATCTTATGCTGAGAAATCCACCAATATTAGACGGGTGGCATGTGCTGAGTGTTGCTTGAAACCAAAACGTGAATATTCTTATTTTAAAGCTAACCTGCAATTTCAAAAGATGAGATGCTTAGAAGGAAATGCAGAAGTATAAATGAGAAATATACTCAATGGAACTTATAAACATACAGTACAGATTAAATTTTCTTATTGTTTGGTTCTATGTGGAAATTTTTGATGTCAATAATACAGCCTATTTTTTATAAATTTCTTCCCCAAAAACCTTTAATTTCAACAATTTGAGAAAAATGTTGTTTTACCTTTGTCTGAACACAGACAACCTATTGCCATACACATGGTGCATGTGAACATACCTATATGTACAGATCACAGAACTATGAACTGTGTGCAAAGGGGCTGACCTAGTATTTTTGCATGCACAGTGCTCGGGATCCTATCCTAGTGGGTGACAATGCAGAACATATGCTAATGGGATTTTTGGTGGTTTTTTTTTTTTTTGTACCGAGGATTGAACTCGGGTCCTTGCGCTTGTGCAGTAGGCGGTGAAACCACTGAGCTAAATCCCCGGCCTGCTAATAGTTTTTGGTCAGTGAACTTGGAGTCAAGAAACCATCCCAGTGATTATTTACAATGTAATAGCTGAATGATTATCAGATTATGTTACGTTGTAAACCTATTCTCATACCAAGAATGCCGACTCTGTAAGCTCTGGATGTTGAGCTGGTAAGTCTGAGGCTTAAATTGGTGTATACAAAAAGTAAACCAAAGCCTGAAGAATGTGACGAAAGAAGGTAGAAAGCATTCAGCACTGAAATTTCTCGTAAACATCATAGAAGCACAGAGAATTTAGTGATTTTTTTTTAAAAAGAATGCTTTAAAAAAGTGAGTATACACATAGCCTATAAGGCAAAGTCTAAGTTACAAGTGTACCCAACCAACTCTGGCAACTGTTCTATGAGAGATAATACTGAGGAAAAGTGGATGTTTTTGCATTTTATGATATGCTCTTCAGTCTCCTTTTCAGACTACTGTAGGTTTCATTGTAGGGGACTTTTGTTCCCTTTGTTCCAGTGTTAATTCCCAAGGATTTAGTTTTTGTGACACTATTGTGGAAGTTATTGTTGGCCTAATTTCTTTCTCAAAGAGTTTCTTGTTGGTGTACAGGAACGCTATTGATTTTTGTGTGAACTTTGTAACATGCTATGCTACTGAATTTAGTCATTAATTCTAGGAATCTTTTGGTGGAGCTCTCGGAGTCGTGTATGTAGAAGATCATGTCAACTACAAATAATGATAGTTTAACTTTTTCCTTCTTTGTACATATCCCATTTATTTCTTTCTCTTGCCTGATTGTTTTGGCTAATGTTTTGAGAACTATATTAAACAGTAATGGTGATAGCAGGCATCCTTGTCTTGTTTCTGAAGTCTGGAACAAGACAGCTTTCCCCTGTTTATTATGATGTTGGCTGTTGGTTTGTCATAAATGGCTTTTATCAAATCGCGATAAGTTTTTTTATGCCTATTCAGGGTTTTAATCATGAATAGATATTGTATTTTGTCAGATGTTTTTTCTGAGTCTCTTGATACGATCTGTGATTTTTGTCCTTGCATCTGTTTATGTGATTTATTACATTTTATTGATGTGCACATGTTGAACTATCTCTGGATCACTGGAATGAATCCTACTTAGTCATGATATAATGATCATTTTGACTATTTCCTGCATATTGTTTGCAAAGTCCTCATTGAGGACTTCTGCATCTGTGTTCCTTGAAGAGCTTGGCCTGTATTTCTCTGTTTTGGTTGTGTCCATTTCTGGATTTGGAATCAGCGTAATGCTTGGTTCCATGAATGACTTCAGGAACACTGCTTCCCTTTCAACTTCAGGAAACAGATGGAGGAATACTAGTGTTGGGTCTTGAATAAAGTTCTTGTAGATTTTAGCAGTGAATCTGTTGGGGTCTGGGGTCTTCTTAGTTTTTAGTTTTTATTATTACTTGTTCAATTCCATGGAGAGATTGGGCTACTCAAAATTTTTCTGTCTTCTTGGTTTAGCTGTTGTAGTTAATATGTATCAGAATTCATGTATTTCATCTATATTCTCCATTTTATTACAGTACAGGCTCTTAATGGATTTATTTCCTTTTATGGTTAGTTGGCTAGGATTTTGTCGTATTTGTTTATTCTTTGAAAGAACCAGCTCTTAGTTCATTGATTCTTTGTATTTTTAGACTCAATTTCATAACTTTTGCTCTGATTTTCATAACTTCCTTCTTTATAGTAGCTTTGAATTTGGATTGATCTTGTTTTTCTAGCACCTTGAGGTACATATTTAGATTATGTTTTTGAGCTCGCTCTGTTTTTCTGATGTGAGCATTCATCGCTATAAACTTTCCTCTGAGGATTACTTCCATGGTGTCTCAGAGGTTCTGGTAAGCTGCAGTGGCATTATCGTTTGATTCTAGATCACTTTAGGGTTCTACTGAACAACCGAATACACATTCTGATCAGCAGTTCATGGGACTTTCTCCAAAGTAGACCACATGCTGGCCCAGAAAGCATGCTTAAATAAATGCAAAAGAAGGGAAATCGTTCCATCCATATTATCAGAAGATACTGCAATGAAACTAGTAATCCAAGGAAGGCTCATTTGATTCTAGGAACTAGTTCTTTCATTGCTATTTTCCATGATCCATTGATTATTTAAGAGGGTATTGTTTATTTTCCATATGTTTGAAAAGTTTCTGTGGGTTTTTTTGCCATTGATTTCTAGTTTCATTACACTCTCTTCTGATAATGTGCATGGAATGATTTCCATTATTTTCCACTTGCTTAAGCATGTGTTCTGGGCTAGAATGTGATTTGTTTTGGAGAAAGTCCCAGGTGCTGTTGAGCTGAATGTGTATTCTGTTGTTGGGTAGAATACTCCATAGATATCTATTAAGTCTATTCGTTTGAAGGTTTGGTTGAGCTCTGATATTTCTTTGTTGATATTTTTGTTTAGTAGATTGATCTAGGTGTGACAGTGGGGTATTGTGACAGTGGAGTATTATAATTGTGTTAGTGTTTATCTGACTTTTTGTGTCCATCAGTGTTTATTTTATTAGGTTGGGTGCACAAATTTTTGTTATATGTTTATAATCGTCATCTCTTCCTCTTGAATTGCTCCATTAACCAATATGTGGTTACAATCTCTATCTCTTTTGATCAGATTGGCTTGAAATTCACTTCGTCTGAAATTAAGATAGATACTCCTGCTTTTCTCTGGGTTTCTGTTCCATGGAATACTGTTTCCATCCTTTGATTTCCAATCTGTGAATTTTGTTGAGTTAAATGTTTTCTGTATATTCCATATCACTGGGTTTTGTTTCTTGATTTATTCTACCAATCTGTGTCTTTTGATTGGGAAATTGAGACCTTTCACATTGAGAGTTATTACTGAAAGGGAATTGACTTTATTCTTTTAATTGCATTATTTGCCTGTAGGTGATTTCCTTATAGTTTTTTTCCTTCTGCTTAGGTGGTGATTCTGCCAGTTGTGTTCATTCTATTTGACTTATTGACATTATTGTTTCACTGTCTCTTTCTAGCATATCCTTGAGAACTTTCTTTTGTAATTCTGGTTTGGTGGTCAGGAATTTCTTGAGATGCTCCTGGTCATGAAAACATTTTTTTCTCCATAAACTTTGAAGGAACATTTTGCAGGACATATATATCTAGGTTGGAAATTTTTATCTTTTAGGACTTGAAGCACTTCACTCCAAGCCCCTATGGCCCTTAAGGTTTGTGTTGAGGTCTGTAGTTATTCTAGTCGGTTTACCTTTGTAAGTGGTGTGGTCTGTTCCTTTTCTCTAACAGTTTTAAGATTTTGGCCCTAGGTTGGACTTGTGTTTAGAGAATGATATTTCATGGAGAGTTTCTCTTTCGATCATAGTTATTTGCGGTTGTATATTCCTTATTTATCTGTATGTTTATGTTTTTACCACTATTTGAGAAGTTTTCTGCTATTATTTCTGTAAAATGTTTTTTTATGCCATTTGTAGTGCCTTCTGATTTTTCATATATTCCTATTACTTTGAGATTAATCTCCTTTGGTTCATCTAGCAGCTTTTGGATCCATTTTTCATGTTGGCTTGTGGCTTTAAATGTGTCTTTGAATACTTTTTCATTGAGAGTATCTCTGTCTTCTAATTCTGAAGTTCTGTCCTCACATTGGTTGCTTCTGTTGTCCATAGTTCCTATATTTTTTAATCTCCTGGATTACTGATTAAAATCTTTTCATGAACTCTACTTTTTTGTTAAACTGTTCATTCATGTTCTCTATGATTTTCTTTAGCTCACTTTGCTTTTCATTATTGTGTTCTGAAAGCTCCTTGATCACTTCTGTTATTACTTCCATAATCTTTTTAGTTGTATCTTCTGAGATTATGCCTAGCACTTCTTTGATTTGCTTTCTGATCTCCTCTATTAGCCTTCAAGTACTTTGTGTATGTTGCTTATATTATTCTCCCCCTCAGTACCCACGGATTGGTTTTAGGGGAGTTGGAAGGTTTGGGAGGCACTTTGTTGACTTGTCTTCAGTGTTTCTATTGTCCTTCTATTTTTGTTGTTGTTGTTGTTCTGTGTTGAAGTTTGTGGCACTTACAGTGGAAAGAGTTGCTACTGTAGAAATCTTTTTAATTAGTCTGCTTTTTAGTGATGTAATTTGGGCAAGGCTGACTATAGTCCTTTAACTGAGCCCTAAAATCCAACCACTTCTCTTAATTTAGAAGGGGAAAATGGAGTATAATTGGCCCAAGACCAAGTTACCTGGGCATGTAGCCCAATATTGTTAATGTCGAAAATGTGGCTTACAGACAAAATCCACTAATGTCAACATTTATGCGACCCTGACAGTTTCAAACAAACCACCTACTGTGGTATTGTTCAAGACAAATTGGACATTAGCATACCATAAGAACCAATGTGATACCACCCTTAAACATAGAAAAGAAATCCACCATTATAATATGAATACTAAGACAATCCAGATATTGACATACAGCTAATATGTACTAAATGTGACAGCTATATAGTTCCACTAATAGTAAAAATAATTTAATAGTAATTTTATAGAGTTAAGTATCTAAAGATTATTAAAGCTTAATGGTTACTAAAGATATAGCGAGTTGGGAAAAAGGGAATGCCAGAAGAAAAATTTGAAACCTGAAATTCTAGCATATGAGAAGGAGGAGAAGGTAGTGGCATGAATGATTCTATCAGGGACTAGAAGGATACCTATAAAATTAGTAAGTGTAACAGAAAAAAACTGAAGTAGAAGTTAGCAGAAATAAAAGGCAAAAAAGAATAGAAATTATATAGATAATACAAATAAGAAAAACAATAAAGGGAAAAATTAATGGGAAAGAGGTGAAAAAAGAAAAAATGATGTAAGAAAAAGAAAGAAATGAGAAAAAGAAAGAAAACAATTCCTTTGTGATGTTGAATGAGTAGTTTCCTTTCCAGATCCATAATTTTAAGGTCTAGCAATTCTCGATTTTCTGAGGCCCCCTGTGCACTCCCAGCTGTGGTTGTGTCCAAGTCATGATGTGCCCCTGCTCACACTGGTAGACAAGGTAGGCAGCCAGACTGGAAGTCCATGCTGGACACAGGCAAAGGGGCAAGAGCTCAAATAACCAATGCCAAGACTCTGAAATCCAGAATAACTCCGACTGGGCCTGGGCTCCAGGTGCTGGTGGCGGGGCTGTGTCCTTCACAGCCTAATTCAAACCCCTCAGGGGGTCTCTTTGCAGCCTGCGGTCTGTCCAAAGCTGTGTCCTCTTCCTGTCACTCAGTCACTGGAGCCCTGAAGTGAAGCCATCCCATGGCTGTTCTGAGTTGCCAGCTGAAACAACCCTTTGCCCCAGTGGGACCCTTGCCTGGGCTCTCTCCAGAAATATGGCAGCATCTGCATTAGGGAAAATTACTCACATTTACCTTTATAAGGACTTTGTGGCAGCAGAGCTCCGTACTGTCCCTGCAGATCTCAGCAACCTCTGGCCATTGAGCCAGTGCTTTTCCCTAGGGCCTCCTGGAGCCCCTAGGTTTCCCTTTGGTTCTATAGATTCAGTCTTCCTTTCCCATGAGCCTGGAGCCGGGAAGAAAGTCCAGACAGCTTTGCTCCTTCTTCTCCTTGTATTCTGTCTCTTCAAATTCTCTATATTTTTAAATTTTCCTGTCAGTTGCTTCCTGATTGCCTGGCGCCTTCTTTTCCATTTCCTCTTCCTCCTCCTCCTCTTCCTCCTTTCCCTCCTCTTCCTCTCCTCCTCTACTTCTTCCTCTTCCTCCTCTTCCTGATTTCCCTCCTCCTCCTCTTCCTCCTCCTCCTCCTCTTCTTCTGCTTCTGCTTCCTTGGGTTATCTTGGGTTATTATATTTCAGACTCTCAATTCTGAATCTGCGGGAGGCTGCATTGCTGCTGCTCACCACTCCTTCATTTTCCAGCACAGAACGTCTGAAGGTAACTCACATTCATAAAAAGAAGGTGTATCCCACAGAGCCTGGCTTCTGTAATCACACTGGTATTCCAGTGAGAGGGGCTGTATCTCAATTGCTGTCATTTATGCTAATCATTGGGGTGGGAGGACTCGGGGAGGTGAGGAGCCTGGTCCAAGGAGTGACCACAGGTCAGCAGAGAGAGCTAGGTATGGTCAGCAGGAGGGTCCCAAGAGCTGCCAGGCCCAAACTATCAACCTTCCCGAGGATTATGGGTGTCCACTGTCCAGATACACGAGACCCCACAGAGTGTGCCCATTTTCTGGGGTCATCTTTGAGAGGCTGTAATTGGCATGCAAACTTCTGCCACAGTCCACAAGGGACTCATCTGGGAGATGAGGTCCTGGTCTCAAAGGGAGAGATCAACTCATCTCAGGTCGGGTGGGAATGAGGGAGAGTGGGGTGGAGATGAGAGAGGACAGACACTGACAGGAGTAAGATGGAGAAACTACAGAAGTGCATAGGAGATACCTTACTTGCGTTCTCATTGCTGAAACATAATACCTGACATCTGCAGTTTAGTGGAAGAAAAGTTGATTTGGGTTCACATTTTATAGAGGTTTCAGTTCATAGTGAGCCAGCTCCAAGGCAGAACAGCATAGTGGAAGGGCCTAGTAGGAGGAAAGCTATGCACCACAAGTCTTCCAGGAGGCCAACAGTAAAGGGAGGAGCCAGGAAGCAAGCTATAACTTGCCCTGTCACACCCACAGTGACCCTCCTTTTCCTAAAAGCCCCCCCCATCAGTCAGTTAGGAATGAGCCCCCATTATCCAGTATCTTGTAAAGGTCCTACCTATGGTTCCATGGGACTTTCAGGGGAAATCTAGACTTAAACCGTAACAGGGTTAATGTGTCACAGGAGAGATGGGCACAGGTCCTGCTGTCAGCAGTGAAGGCCCCATGTAGGGGGATGGGCACCTGCTCCCTTCTTTTGAGAATGTTGGAGATCTCGTGGAGGTGACACTCTTGATCTAAGATGGTGTCTTCAGATTGGCATAGGGAACTCCATCTGGTCAACAGATACACAATTCTCATATCTTCTGGGAGTCAAGAAGGACCCTAAGGGACGTCAGAAGGTACCCTGCCCAGAAGACGGAGAGGTGAGTTTTCCACAGGCAACTACCTTGCAGCTTCAGTTACCCTGGAAAGTCAGGGCAGGGCTGTCAGGCTGAGGCTGCTCCCTTAGTGCCACATCCATCACCTCAGCGAGCTGAAGGCCTTGGTAGGACAGAGGTGGAGCAAGGAGAGCAGAAATAGATACCAAGCTATGTCAGGAGTCTAGATAAGGGCAAAGTGAACCCTCTCAGCTCAACACACAGCATCCTAGCCTCAGCCCGTCCCTTTGTCACTAGTTGACAGACCCAGGGAACACAAGTGGAGTAGATTCCCCTCTTTTCCTCTTTGAGTGTCTCACAGAGAGAGGCCTGTGGTTTCAAGAAGGCGGGCCTATCTCATTCCAGAGAGTCCCAGACCTTCCCATTTATCAAGATAAGAATGGAGCAGGCTCCCTTTCCTAGGGCACATGCACTCCACTGAATTTGTCTACCTCTTGCTGTTACACCAGGGTGGCTGTGTCCAGATGTGAGTTTGGGGCACTGACTTTTGTTCCCTCTCAAATATGTGCACAATTTTCCTAAGAGTTTGCCTCAAGCCAGCAGAGGGCTGGGGTCCAGGCCCTACTCAAGGACAGTTGAGGTCCCTTAGTGAGCAGTGAGGGTTTCACCCACCCAGAGCAGTGGGGTCCTCACAGAGTCCAGCCACACCTCTTGTTGGGGCTGGGGAACCAGGACTGCACCCGTGGCCTGAGAGCCCTCCATGCCTTTTACAGGAGCTCCAGGAACCAGGCAGTGAAGGTTGTGATGTGAGGCGGTGTCCTCAGGTCCCACAACAGAGGAAGTCAGAAGTCAAGGTGAGGTGTGTGCCCTGAATGTGTACCTAGGTCTCCACCTGCCCGAGGACAGAGGGAAATCCTTGTGCCCAGGCCCCACAAGCCCTACTGTCTGCCCTAGAGCTGTCCTCTGTGATTCAGCTGCATCCTGAGCAGCAGCCTCACTTCCCTGTCCCACATTCTTAGGGAGACAGTTTCCAGGGGGACAGGAGCCTGTGAGGCTCTAGAGTACCACTCAAAGCAAGACCTATACAAGGCAATTTTGGGACTGCTGTTCTCAGCTAAAGACACTCACAGTCCCCCTCTCTCCTCCAGGCATCTGAGTCCTCATCACCAAGCTCCTCCTCTCTCCAGGAACCTAAGAACATCTTCCTAGTCAAAGGAGCCAGAACAACTGCTAGGGGGAGGCCCTCCTGCATGAAGAGGGACACGGGCTCTGGTGAAGGTGCAGGTTCTCAAGCCTGAGGGGGAGAAAGTAGCAGTCAGTGCTTCCTCTGCCTCCTCTTTCTGCTATACTCAAATCCAGACTACTCCAAGAGAAGTGCCTCAGGCTGGGACACTGAGTTGTCCTTAGAATCCTCAGGGCGTCTTCTCTCCCCCACTGCCATGGCCTCTAGTCAAAGGAGCCAATCCAGTCTGGGCTTCAGCAGGGAACACAAGGAGCATCGATGTACCCTGCAGGACCAGGAAGGTCCTAAGCCCCTGCCCCTTGAGGCCCTGCGTGACAAGGTAGATGAATTGGTGGATTTCCTACTCCTCAAGTATAGCAAAATGGAGCTGACCACCAAGGTAGAAATGCTTTATGGTGTCACAAAGGATTACCAGGAGCACTTCCCTCTGATCTTCAGAAAAGCCTCTGAGTGCTTGTATCTGGTGTTTGGCATTGATGTGAAGGAAGTGGATCCTCCTGGGAACTTATATGTCCTTGTCCCTGTCCTTTGTCTCACCTATAATGGGATGTTGGGTAATGAGCAGGGCATTCCCAAAACCAGCCTACTGATAATCATCCTAAGTATTATCTTCGTTAAGGGCAACCGTGCCAGTGAGGAGGTTGTCTGGCTTGCACTTAATAGAATGCAGGTGTATGATGGGAGGGAGCACTTAGTCTATGGGGAGCCCAGGAAATTCATCACTGAGGAGCTGGTAGAGGAAGGGTATCTAGAGTATCGCCAGGTGCCTGATAGTGATCCTGCTCGCTATGAGTTCCTGTGGGGTCCAAGGGCCCACGCTGAAACCACCAAGATGAAAGTCCTGGAGCATTTGTCCAAGGTCAATAAGAGAGATCCCAGGTCCTACCCACGTCTATATGAAGAAGCTTTGAGAGCAGAGCAAGAGGCTGCCATGGATGGGGTGGGGTACGTGCCAGAGATAGGATGTATTTGGGAGCCACTACACTAGCATAGCTCCTGCCCCATGTGAAATGAGGCCCATTCTGCAGTCTCTTTGAGAAGAGCAGCCAGTTTTCTAAATAGTAAGGGCCTGAGTAGGATGGGAAAACACAGTCCATATCTTTTGATGTCCGTTCTACTTAGGCTACTTGGAAATTAATAGGTGTTTTCTTTATGAATTTTTGAAATCTCATTCCTTTTTTTCAAGATTAGAGGTGTTTGCATGTATTATGTGAAGAATAATATTTACCTCACATGGATTTTTAGTTGTGTGACATTGATAGTTGATTGTGATTTCTGATGTGAATATGATTTTGTGTGACAGTGATCACATGAGCATTTTGCTCTTCCATTCCGAGTGTTAGAATCTTTGCTGTTTTGTAAACCAACTTGTGAAATGTTCATTTTATTTGTGATGTGGAACAAGATACCTTAGCATTTGAATAGAAATTTCTTTGGAAATATGTAAGAAGTTTACATCACTTTAGATGGAGTCCAGAAATAGACATAAGAATAAAAAATGATTTCTTGGTTTCCTATTTCTTTTTCCTCTGTTGTTCTATATTATTAAAAATGTATAGGGCCGGGGATTTAGCTCAGTGGTTCTGCTGCCTGTCTTGCAAATGCAAGGTCCTGAGTTCAATCCCTGGTACCAAAAAAAAAAAAAGTATGTATATCCGAAGTTGCTTGGTTTCTTCAATTATATTCGGGAAATTTCCTGTCAATAAAGAAGCCCATCTGCTCACAGGCACATTAAGCCCAAATCTCCATTGCACGTGTGTCCTTTGGAAGGCCCTGTGTCTGTGGCGGAGATATGAGTAAATGAGACAGAGCAGGATCGCACCTACCCAATATGATTGGGGAGACCAGGAGAACCACCAATGTTGGAGGATAGAGACATGACTGCAAGGACCTAACACCCATGTAAAAGGGTACTGAACAGGTGGAGTCTAGCAGAGCGCAGCCATGGTGAGTGCTGAGCCAGGGCAGTTTGGGGCTTGGGGTAACTGCCATCTCTTCCGCAGGAGTTCATTTTAATGCAGCTGCATGGAGGCCAATGTCAGACCCTCAGATGAGGTGTCTTGGGCCTGAGAGGATGGAAGACTGCTCTGAGCAAAGCTTTTAGATGGTGGGTGAAGCTAAGAGGAATCCTCACCTGGGACAGTGATAAGAAAAGTGGTCCTACATAGGGCAAGAACCAGGGGACTTATACCCCACATCTGCAAGAATTTCTTGAGAGCTAAGGGGGACTCTCAGTTGAATTGAGGCACTAATGTCCCTGGCCAGGTGCTCTGCTGTCTACTGGGAGTGTCCACTTTCCAGGGCCTTGCAGTGCCCAGTTGACTGCTTCCCTGGGAAAAACTTGTGTACTTTGCCTGAACACTCTTTGAAGATGGCTGTCAGGATCTGCCAATGGTGTAGGCCAGGTACAGGAGAGGTCAGATGTCCGTCTGACAAAGAGGTTCTCCCTCCACAGAGCTTTCTCAGTTTTCCAGAGTATTCTCCCTGTCTTATAACTGGAATAACCTGCAGCCTACTGGCCATGGGAGCTTCTCAGGATCCCTGTGTGGCAAATGACAAGGCCAGGACTGGACTCTCAGTGTGAGGTCATCTAGAGGCCACCCTGTTCCCACTCCTCCCAGCCTCAACCTGGCTCTGCTTCTGAATTCAATTCTGAACTCAGAGAAATGAAAATACCTCTCAGGGTGCAGAAAGTCCCCGTGTCCAAGGCACTGATCTGGCCTGAATTAAGAATGTAAGATGAGCGGGCCATGGGTGCCCCCTACTTCCTGGGAACTGCCCAGAGTCACCTGCCCTCGCCCACGGCATGTAGAAGGCCCTGGCCGTCACTTTGCTCACCATGGAAACCCTCCAATAGCAACAGATCTTTTGACATAAAAGTTATCCTTGGACTGTGAGGCTTAGTCCCTGGGTTCTGTACCTGAGAAGCAAATTAACACAGTCTCAAGCTTTCCCAAATGGGTGATAAGGACTTGGGCAAGCAGTGTAATCTACTTGTCCTGGTAGGTTAATTAGGACAGTTTTTGAGACCATCTTGACATTTTTGTAGGATTTTCATGGAATAAGTTACTAGGAAAGGTCCATGTCACATGTGCGGGTGCATGAGCTTATGTAGGTGGTCAAACCCCAAAGCTCCCTGAGAAGCTGTTAGTGAGGCAGGACTGTGCTCACTGCTGTATGGAAAGAAATTCATCTGCTGTGGCTGAATTATTCCAAACCCTGAAGTCCTCTGAGGAGGTGGCAAGTGCTTCTTTGTAGATCTCAATCTAAGTATAAAAATGGTGTCCATGATCTCTCCATGATCTGTGTCCCTCCCCACAGGGAACTCGTGATCTTCAGTATGCAGAATGGCACTAGTCCTGATGTTCGGACCAGGACAGTCATGTGTGCTGTAGCAACAGCTCACAGTTAGCAGACTGGCCATGAGTCTGAAGACAGGAGGAAATTCTCAGCCTGGTGAGATCAGAGGTTACAGTGAAGAGCAGTACACACAAGAGCTAGTGACTGAAGAAGCACCCCTCCTGCTAATATTTTTACAATACTATGCAAACTAGATTGATTCTCTATCTAAAGCAACTGTCCCATAGTAGGTAGCACTTGAAAGGCTGCAGAATTTCCAGGCCTATCTCACATGCTCAAAAACTCCTCCCACAATGGAAGAGAATTTATGTTAACAAATAATATTTGTCACATTCGTTTGAGCATCTACTGTGTCACCACTTACAGTGACATTACAAGTCCTCGCTAGCACACAGCTTGTCTTCCCTGCTGTTCTAGCCATGTGAGCATTATAGACCACTTGTCCTTAGGAAAAGTCATTAGATGATCCTGTGCCACTGAAGCAGACCCATTACTTAGCCATTAGAGCCATTTCTACAGGAGGTGCTGCAGGACAACTGGATTAATCATCACGCCCTGGCCAAACAGCACCTGGCCCTCTCTGTTTCCTCATCTAGGAGGCTCAGCCACATGTGTTTGCTCCCTTTGACAGACCAAGCTGATTCTGTACCTTGAAGACCCTGGGCAGGAGCCACCCCCCAGATGCTGACTGCAGAGTTTGCTTCATGCCGCCCTCACCCTTCAGGTTCCTGGGCACACCTGTCAATCCCAGGACACCTGTGATGTCCTCCCCAGTGTGAGGGCAGGTGGTGGCCAAAATCGCCCAAATCCATGTGCTGCCTGGGGGTTCCCTCCTCCTGCTGCTGTGCCTCATTGGCCCACCCTCTCCTGCACCTGGCCTCAGCCTGCCCAGTTTGGAGCATTCTGCTCTCTGTGTCCCTACTCCCACCCGCTCAGCCCAAGACAGGACTTAGTCCTGATGGTAACAGGCAAATATCTACAACTGAAGATCCCTGATAAGAAGTAGGTTAGGAAGTTCTTTCTGTAAGGTTCCAGAGGTGTGCACCTAACCATGTATGGAAAACATGTTTTTCCTTCCATGTGAGACCTGTTAAGTCAGAGTCAGTTGTAAAAGCTGAGCTGAGAGCAGACACTCCACAGCCAGTCTTTGCCGAGACGAGCCTTGATTTGAGTAGACTCTTCCAAGAAAAAGATCACACTGTTCATTCTATAGCAGAAAAGTTCACATCCTCTGAGGACTGCTCCTCAAGGAATCTGGTTGAGCTTTTCCTAAGCAGTTCTCATGAGACAGGACAGTGTACAGATACTGTACTTTCTATTGCCATTGGGTGCTGAAATATAAGGGAAGTCTGCTGTCTGTTCCAGAATGTCCTGGGTCTCAGCTGGCACCTGTGCTGTTCTTCATAGTGGTATAGGCCACATGGTCTCATATGCTTACTTTGTTTCCAGATGACCAAGTCAAAGGAGGCCTTATATTTTGGCAAAAAGGAACACAAGTTTAATCAAAGCTAGCTCTGAGGAGAGGGAAGTCTCATTCGTCTCAAACCTCCATCTCACCTTACAGAGGTGGTAAGGGCCTTTTACTGTTAGGAACAGAGGGGAGAGAGCACACATAAAGTCCATGCAGACCTCCACACTTGCTTCGTCATTTCCCGCCATCCTCGGCTCATTCTCCACGTTCTTGAGGAAAGGATACCAGGCACCAGGCTCCTGGGCTGGTGGCATCTGCATATCCTGTCACTACTTTGGGGCTGAGAAGATGCGGAGGTGTTGGTTATGTACTCCGCAGGAGGAAGTGTGGATAAGTTTATCTCTAAAAGAAAAAGTCGAACTTTTAAAGTTCCGCTTTGCAGTGCAGGTACAGTAGCACACATGGTATTGTAACACAAACCCTCCTCCCTCAGGGTTCTGTGCCCTTTCTAGGCTGGAAAGAGTGACCTTGCCTATTTGCCACAGAAATCAGCTGGGAGATCCCATGGGACACCTCTTTCTTCCCATTATGCAAGAGAATCCCTGCCTTCTTCTGATGAACAACATCATTCACCACTAAAAAGATTGCAACTCCTGTCTATGCCTGCCGGTACCAAGCCAGGAGGTCCACAAGACCCATGGGTAAGGTTTGGGGAGGGGAGCTCAAGCATTGGTCTAGCAGGTACAAGATCCAGGGAGTTATGGCTGTGTCTAGATGTACTTGCAAAGCTTCGTGCAGTCATAGGTAGGGCTTTTTGAGAGGTGGCTGGATCTTGAGTGTGTGATCCTGGGATTGATTCATGGTGCAGTGCTTGGCTCAAGGCCACTAGGATTAGGGATGTGAGTGCTACCCTCCCTAAGTAGTATGGATAAGATAAAAGGGGAAGAAAGATATTGGTAAGGTCCCTTCTTGCTTTTGCTGTCTTCTGTGTGCAATGAACTATTTCTCCCCTGCAATGCCCCTCTCCCATGTGCCACCCTGCCTTGGAGCCAGCTGACTATGGACTGAACCCTCTACAAACTGTGAGCTAAATAAACCTTTCCTCCTTTAACTTTGGGTGTCAGATATTTTGTCTCAGCAAAGAGAGAAATGTAACTAAGACACAGAGTTTGATTGATCCATCTGCAGCACTAAAAAAAAAGTGTCCTGGTAGTAGCAAAGCTTAAAGCTCACTAGGACTCTCATTGTTTCTCTTGGGGGAAGTATTCTTGAAAAATGAATACCCTTAGCAGCCTTTTCCAATATGGGACCCAGCCACCACATGTTGCCATTTAGTTCTGAAATATGACTAATATTACTGAGGAGCTACAATTTTCATTTTATTTTATATAGTTTAAACTGCAAATAGGTGAACCTTATTGGACAACACAGGTGGAGACGTTCGGAATCTAAACCTGTGGAGCAGGAAGCACAAATTCCCATGGAAGACACAGGGAGTGATAAGAAGTGGGGTCGCTCCACATCTCAGGTAATGGATCCTGTGTTCTACTTATTGCTGGCCGGTGAGGAGAACAGATCTAGAGTGCATTCTACTGAGGAAGATGCCAGCCACCTTACAGGTTATCACTTTCTAATCTGCAACCCGTTTGCACTTTGAAGCAGTTCTTCCATTGCTCCAGAGGACCAGCAGCTCCTGGGAGGCCCAGGATGGAC